GAGTCACGTCTTTCTTGTGGAATTTACAACCTAAAGCATTGCAGAAAAAAAAATTCGGCCCGGTAACGGGTTAATTTCAGATGAGGCTTGTATGGCTTGTGGGCATTGTAGAGCAAAACAACCAACATGTACGTGTTTGTGAGAGTCTCAGCTTTCAATGGTTTGTAGCTCAAACCGTTCAGATTCTACAGACAGAAGTTGTCACATCAGCGGTAACGACTCGACTTCAGACGAGTCCCGTGACGCTTGTGGGGGTCATAGAGCAAAACGTTCTACGTTGGGGGTCTAGCCCAAACCGTTTTGACTCTTTCGTGAGAAGACACATTTTCGGGATGTCTCCTGGTCTGTAGCTCTGCCACCTTCCACCGCATATGCGGAAAGCCGACATCGGCAGATGTGGTGGATTGAGACGCAGCCCATGCAAAAAATCTCTAGTTTAAACAAATTCTCAGCTATCTCTAATTTAAACAGATGGATTTTGATGGAGATTTTTTATTATACAAATTAGATTTCGACTCTAGGTATAATCGGGATCCATTTCCCCCCTTTTTTAAGCTAACAAGAGGTACGCTTTTTGACACTTTTTCTGACAAGGGGTATGGCGTACCCCCACATAACCCTTGAATTCGAGCACAGTATGTCCTGCACATGTAAAGTCTGATAAATGCACATAAACTATGTGTATTTACAATTTACTGTCATGTTATCTGCGCCTCAATACCGTGTTAACCCACTGAGCTAAAGCCAGTGCATTAGCTTTGAAAGCTAAAATAAAGTCATCGGTCTCAACCAACCAGGGTTTGATACCGGGTCAATCACATTGGTGCTGTGACACTGATCACAAAGTTGATTAACAGCTGCAGCGGTTGTTATGGGAAATGAGGAGGTCAGGGTTCATTGAGTAACTCAGTGTATTAACCTTTAGTAAACAGTAAACGGTATCTGAATCTGGGATTAATACAGCATAGTAGGATTTGAAAATATTCCATACATAATCCCAATCCTAATATGGTCAAATTTGTGGACATTATAAAAAGGAAATGGACAAACATGTAGTTGTAATTGACCTTTATGTCCATCAGGGGGAGACTGATCGTCCTGCCTCAGTGTTCACTGTAGTCTGCTGTGTTTCATTCACTCACCCAGTACAGTAGGATTACACCTCTCCCCGGCAACACGTGATACATTGAGAAAAACTCTCAATTAGATTTTCCTATTGGCTGAACTGAAACAGAAGAGTGATGGGACTTTCCAAACCATGGCCTTTGAATAGGGGAAGTGTAAACAATCACGTCTCTAGTCATCCAGGATGAGGGTTGGAATGAGGAAGAAGTGGCCACAGAACAGAGCAGAGAAGAGAAACACTAGTGGTGTTAGACCAGGGGGTGCACAGCTCCAGTCATTGAGGGACGTGTACCACTGTCAGGGAAACATTTAACACCAGCAGGACTGTGGAAGCCTGAGATGTGCAGCCCTGCTGTAGAGTATAGGCTATTACACTCAAGACATTTACCAAAGGGCATCATATTTTGAGTTGTAACACAGCCCAAACCCCCTCCGTCACAGTGGTGTAGGAGTTGGGAAATTGCAATAGAATGTAGGGTTCAGAAGCAGTATCTAGAGCTCAATGCCACCAGGCCCAACTTGGCTGTACCCCGAGTGGAGGCTGCAGGGCCTTCCTCACCCAGCAGCTCTTCCCCACCTGGGCCATGCTCCACGACATCATGGATGTCAAACTGGTGCCCTACGGCAATGAACAGGAGCTTCCCTCAGGGAATTCTCCCTTCATCTGTCAACATGGAGAACCAGAGTGTCATGGTAACATGACTGAGGCATATATTCTATATTCAGTGGGTCTGTACTCAGCATTCCTGGTAATTTACTGCATGGAATCTGCAGCTAATGTTCTTGATGCTGCCCAACCTTGCTTACAGCTGCACGTCCCCTCCATGATGTGGGACAGTGTCACGTCCTGTGTGAAGGGAGAGCTTGGCTTCAAACTAATGCATGAGAACACCCTGAAGACCAAAGCTCTCAATCTGGCCAAAACACACATCCCCTGGGTGACTATTAATGGGGAATACACAGATGACTTTCAGGACAAAGCAATGTCATCACTTTTTAACTTGGTCTGCAAAATGTACAAGGGAGGCAAACCCCCTGCCTGTACTGGGGCACAGAAGAAACTAGACAGGAGTTAGTGCTGAAACCAACAGTCATTCTGCATGCCATTCATGTTTTTGAAATATATTTTGTTACAGTATATAAGTATCAGTTTCCCCTCATGATCTATGATGAACTTGCATGGTCTTTCAAAAATATAAGTTGCTAATGTCTTGTTGCTGAACTGTATTTTATGAATTGTAAGACTGTTATATTTTGTCTGTGATTCTACGATGGTTTCTTAAAAAACTATTTATTGAAAATTAAACCCAATGCTAAAAAAAAACAAAAAAACACTAACCTTCAACTATAGCAGGTTTTGACCAATTAAATACTGCCTGGAGTTCATCAACAATACATTTCTCATTCAGGTTAATGGGTGCTAGAGAGAGCATCCTGGGGTTTGTAGATGAGAGAGGACAGGCCTATAAAATGCCCCAGCATTTTATGCAACAGACAAGCGTTTGTTAATTCATTAGGTATTGGGTATGTACTGTATGTATGTAGGGTAGGCCTACCCTGAATAGTTGGATGGAACACTGATTTAATATTGCAGTTTTGATTACACTCCTTTGCTTGTTTGACTCTAATAAGTTTGACACTGGTTTCATTATCAATATAAAAGTGCATAATCTCTGTTAGCAAAATGATCATGTGAAACAAACTCTCGCTGGAGTTTTCCTGGCCATCATTGCCCTTGGCATGCTTTGGGGGTTTAGGTTTGATGACTATAAGAAGCTAAAAGCTAAATGGCATATATTATTATTATTATTATTATTATGAAAATACAATGTGATTGAGTGAATGATTGATGGTGTATTAGTTTTTCCTGACTGCAGTATGAGGTTTTCATTGGCTTTATATCATAGACTCTTCTGGCATGGCCAGTCTGTTGTCAACATAATACACTCTCTGAAGCTGGAGACTCTTATCTCCCTCACTAACTTTAAGCATCAGCTGTCAGAGCACCTTACCGATCACTGCACCTGTACACAGCCCATCTGAAATTAGCCCACCCAACTACCTCATCCCCATATTGTTATTTATTTTGCTCATTTGCACCCCAGTATCTCTATTTGCACATCATCTCTTGCACATCTATCATTCCAGTGTTAATACTAATTGTAATTATTTTGCACTATGGCCTATTTATTGCCTTACCTCCATAACTTGCTACATTTGCACACACTGTATATATATTTTCTGTTGTATTTTTGACTTTATGTTTTGTTTTACCCCATATGTAACTCTGTGTTGTTGTTTTTATCGCACTGCTTTGCTTTATCTTGGCCAGGTCGCAGTTGTAAATGAGAACTTGTTCTCAACTGGCTTACCTGGTTAAATAAAGGTTAAATAAATAAAAATAATAATAATAATGGTATCACAGTGATACAGCCTCATAATGGTAGGCAGCATTTCCACAAGCATCACCAGCGTGTGTTTGGCTTCTCTCTGTCTTCCTCATGCTGGGTCACATGACACACACTCAGTAGCTCAGAGCTTTTTTTAAATGTATTTTTATTTAACATTTATTTTGACAGGGAGTCAATACTGAGACCAAGGTCTCTTTTTTTTCCAGATGAGCCCTGTTAACACCACAATACACATCCAATTACAATAAATACATGAAACTAAATATCCATATACACATTAAAATACACGTTATTAAACACAACAGTACATGAAAAGCAAAGCAGAATCATAATCTTCACACACACACACACACACACACACACACACATACACACACACACACACACACATGCACACACACACATACACACACACATACACACACACACACACACAACACACACACACTTGGTCTTATCATCATCTTGATATTTATTACAAATAATGTGACATTTGAGGTGACATTTTACTTAAAGTTGACAATGTTGCAAATGTTACACATAAACAGTATTATAAAGGTCAGTGTTTATTTTAGATTCATTCTTTGACGTGACAGTTCAGCTGTGGCACCAATGGGACTACACTCACATCTCTCCCTAGTAACTGGTGAGAACGCCATCGTCCATTTTTCTATTGGTTCAGATTTAGAAAATCAAACTTCACAAGGTTCAAGACTTTTCCAGACTGGTTTGTTTGGACAAGCTGTCTTTCTTTCTATGGTTGAATGGTTGATGCACTCTCTCACTCTCCACTCAGTAGTTCATGTTTCCCTCTCTGTGTTCTGAGATGTGAAGTGGACCACTCACAGAGATTCACGGTAAAGATGGTCTCAAAGTCTGCTCTTTGGGGGCCTTTAACAATGAGGGAGTGTTTTATTTTATGTCAAGTGATATCATACTTACCTGTTAAATGTGCTGGATGCACATGCACTAGATGTATTTTCAACTGGCTGTGTCAGTAGCTGTCATGTTATCTGCACGACTCAATACTATGTTAACCTACTGAGCTAAAGCCTATCCATGAGCTTTTGGAGCTAAGTCATCAGGTCTCAGCCAACCAGGTTTGATACTGGGTCAGTCACACTGGTGCTGTGACCCTGATTAACAGCTGCATGGGTTGTTATGGGATATGAGTAGGTCAAAGGGGGAGAAATGTTATAGAGAAGGTGGTTCAGTGAACTATACTACATGTCATTTATTTTATTTACAATTTATTCATTTCTGCAATAAATATAAAACAATACAATAGAAAATAAATAATACAATATATATGTATGTGTGTACATAATCTGGGAAGGAAGATTCTTAAAGCCTAAACAGAAATGTGAGTGATGGTGTCTACCTAGTTACAGCTGAGTAAGGATGAAACAAGTGACCTGATTGGTCATATTGTTCAGGAAGCTGCTTGCATTTAGAGGAAAATAGTTGATTCCCTCCAGTGAAGGTTCACACCAGTCAGAAGGTATCTCTACTGTATAGTCCTCCTGCATGCCTCTCTGTTGTCTGAACATGAAGAGCTCTGTGATTGTCCTCATCCTCTACTGTCAGGTGTATGCAGAAGCCAAAGGTAAGTAAATATTATTCAGTTGATGAGTGAAATAAAATATTATATTATATCACCAAAAACTTGCTTTCGAGAGCTTCTAATGTTTAAAATGGATCATGTTGAACACTGTGTGACTGAAATTAACACGAGTGAAACTCCTTGGTTATGAATATGACAAGTGCTGCAACAGTATCACATTTATTCTACGCTGTATTGGACTCTGTGTCTGTTAACGATACTGCAAGTATAAGATGCAACTCTGTTGATGCAACAGCTTGTTACATGTTAGGGTTAGACCAGGGACTGGGTTACAGGGTTAGGGCTAGGGTTAGACCAGGGACTGGGTTACAGGGTTAGGGCTAGGGTTAGTTAGTGGATAGTTAACAGTGTCTTGATAGTTAGTAAACCACCTGTAGTGGTCTATCCAAATACATTATTACCACATTATTTGGACATTCATTCAAACATAGTAGGGCATAAAAGGATGTGTGTTCATGTTGGGAAAGCAGGAGAGGAATATGTCATTATTAAATAATGTACTTGTGGCTGCATATCACAATGCTATGCTTCCAGATGCACTGCAATATACTAACAAGTGTGTTTCATTTTTGTTTCTTTTCTCAGTTCTGCATATTGATTTAGCAATTACTGGATGCAGTGATTCAGATGGAGTGGATATGTATGGACTGGATGGTGAAGAGATGTGGTATGCAGACTTCAACAAAGGGAAGGGAGTGGTGGCACTGCCTCCATTTGCAGATCCAATTAACTTCCCTGGAGCTTATGAACAGGCTGTAGGTGATCAGGGGGTATGCAAAGCAAACCTGGCCACATGTATAAAAGCTTACAAGAACCCACCAGAGACAATAGGTAAGAGAGCAAAAAGTAATCTAGAGTGAATGAATCAATAGAATTCAAGTAGTAATATAGTAAACTCACTATAACCTTTCATATGTATCGTCTGTGGTATAGAGCTCCAAATATGATCACTGTTAGACTTTTTATATTACTACAACACAAAAAGATAAAGCCTAATCAATGCTCCACTACACTTCTAGACTCATATCATGTGACCTAATGACAGATGTCAAATTGTTTTAGCCCAAAACTATGACAACACAACAAGGAAGAATGAATGTGATATTAAATGTGTTCCCACAGCCCCTCCTCACAGCAGCATCTACCCCAGGGATGATGTGGAGCTGGGGGCGGAGAACACTCTCATCTGCCAAGTCAGTGGATTCTTCCCTGCACCTGTCAGAGTCAGGTGGACCAGGAACAATCAGAATGTGACGGAGGGAGTGCGTATCAGCACTCCGTACCCCAACAGTGATGTCACCCTCAACCAGTTCTCCAGTCTGAGCTTCACCCCAGAGGAGGGAGACATCTATGGCTGCACTGTGGAGCACAAGGGCCTTACTGAGCCCCTGACACGGATTTGGGGTGAGAAGACGCCACCACATTACATTTAGCCTGCATTACGTTTTCCTTCTTGTGAATTTTTAAGTGTCACAAATGCATTGTTTCAGCCATTTACTCTGTGAAATTGATAAAATTAGCAACAGTTCATTACTTGATGTTCTTCCTCTGTGTCTGTGTCTCTGTGTGTGTGTGTGTGTGTGTGTGTGTGTGTGTGTGTGTATGTGTGTGTGTCTGTGTGTGTGTGTTTTCTCCACAGAACCTGAGGTGAGCCAGCCCAGTGTGGGTCCTGCTGTGTTCTGTGGAGTGGGTCTGACTCTGGGGCTGCTGGGAGTGGCTACCGGAACATTCTTCCTCATCAAAGGAAACCAATGCAACTGAGACTACAGCTGTCAGAGCATCACTGTCAAATCTGTATAAATATAGAGTAGAGAGAGTAGAGTAGAGTAGTACTTTATTGATCCCAACTTGGGAAATAGTTTTATAACTCAGCATCATCAATAAATTACAAAGACAAGACCTGTATCAATGACAAACACGTTAAAGACACATAATATGACACATAAGAAGGCACCTTAGTAGCCATAAAAGATAGAGACCCGTTTAAGAAAGGTAAGACATGCTGTTGTCTATCCTGCTCTGGGGAAACAAACAATAACATTACTATTGAGAAGGCATCATAAATCAATCAAACATTACACTTTTTAAAAAGCCTCATGGCTGTGGATAAGAATGACCTTCTGAACCTCTCAGTGGACCTTTTGGGCATAATGAACCTACTACTGAAGCTGCTCCTGTGCTGCATTAGAGTGGAGTGGGTGGGTGATATTTTTCATGATCATGTTAGCCTTAGCTTGCATCCTTTTTATGAACTTGCTTTCTTTATGATTTTGTCAAGCTTGTTTAGGTCATCCTTTGCTAAGTTTCCTTTCCATCACGCATTGGTATAGCTAAACACACTAGCCACTAACTACACTGCTGTAGAACATGCGAAGAGGACTTTGCTATCATTTAAAGTATCTTTGTATTGTTAAAAATTATTATATATACTGTAGATGACAAAGAGCCCTTTAAGCCTCCTTAGGAATGTGTGGTTAAACTGCAGACAATTGGAAGGGGAGATGTATGTACATGGAATACCAAACTAGCCTCCCCTGCTCAGAAGATTGACTGGGGCGAGGGATTAGCGCAGCCTAATTGATGTACGTGTGGGATACAAGTTTACCTCCAGTTTGAGTTATAGTTGGTGTTTGTTTCATTTTTCACTTTGTAACCTAAGTTTTTATTAAAGCTTGCATATTTGCCTTTAAACCCCTGGTCTGTGTCTTCTAGTTCCACTGCCACACACGTAACACCTACACCCCCACCCTCCTACCTATGGTGTGCCACAGCACATTCCATTGGGTCTATTGGGTGTTTGTTTACAGACAAAATTGACTTCCTCAATAGTATTAAATAAATATACTATAAACTCTGTAATGTACAACAAATGACTAAAACAATATCAAGGTTCTAAAAACCATCCAAGCACTGCCTGGCATTGCTCTACAAGGTGAAAATTAGAAAAAGACAGTCAGGACAGAGAAACACTCACACTCTTTACTGACAATAGTAGCCTATGTTTTTGCATGATGCCTTTATGATAGAAAAAGCTCAACCCATATGAAGAATTGTGCAAACATTGAGATAAAGCGTAGGCATTAAAATATTGTTATAAAATAATATTTTCTTAGAATAATGATGGTGATGATATTTTCAATTTAGCATTTTAATGTTTAACCTTCAAACATTTGTATTATAACATTTTAATTATTACCATTCAATTCAGAGGAAGTACTTCTGCTACCATATGTATGAATAAATAAACTTGAATTTATGCAGAATTGATTGGCCATATTCTCTTTCAACAAAAGAAACCTGCATACCTCAGTCCAGCAACTCAAAATGTGGCAAGGTTAGGTAGTCGTGTAGGGAGGACTGTAATCAATGTTTGGACTGACCTGTGTAAGATATGTTTTACTCATTCAGATGTGCTTTGTTTTCTACATACCGTCATGTCCAACCTAGTACATTTTTATATTAACATTTTAGTCATTTACTTAAACTAAAACTAAGGAGTGTGTTATTTAATTAGGTTAGACATTCATTCACACAGGCTACACAGCTGGCCTTGGTTCAAATATACATTTTCTTTGAGTTTGATTGAGGCTGCCTGGAGTGCCAGATGGGAGGAATTAGCACTTTTGGGAGTATTTTGATTGATTCTATTACACTAGGCAAGCTTAATCAAGCTCAACTAAAGTATGGAAAGAAAACAAATAGTGTTTGAACCCAGGTCTGCTACAAACACACACATGCACAGGTAATGGCCCACAAGTGTGCCCTCCTGTGAAAGTGCCCCTGAAAAAAATATGTATTTTTCATTCTTATATATTGAATAGTATTTTTCATTTTATTTAACATGACAAGTATAAATACATAATTTGTTTAGTTTCTTCATTTCATTTGTTTTATTTGTTTTGAATTTTTTCACAGGATTTGGATCCCCTATTGTAGCGATATTGAAAAGTTTGATACAATTGATACAATTTAGTGAATGGTGAAAATAATCATTATATTTAAGGTCAGCCCATAGGGTCTGCCTGGTAACATGTGACACTGTGTGACCGCAGCAGAGGACTAGCCCATTTCCTCAACAGTCAATTCCTTTCCCAATGAGCTGCTGTCTTTATTTCACTATCACACTCAGCAGAGGAACATGTCGATGCTAATTGCCTTCTACATTTGCCTGACCCAGTTTCTGTCCATATTCTCTGGAATAGGTAAGTTGTGGACACATTTATGTTGTTGCTTTAAATCATGTCTGAGTTATTAGAATCATGGACAGTGACATTTAGATTACACAGAGGGGTATTTTGTGTAGCAAAGACTTAGTAAATCAGGACATTTGCATAAGCATATTTTAAGTCATTCTGGAATATTCTTCTTGACTCTGAGGTGTATAGTATGTGATGGTAGAATGGTACTTGCATTAAGAGTAAACCAGCCACAAGTTAAATAATGCATGTAAGCCTAGTAAGCAGTCCCTACATATCAATAAAGCATCAATTACACACTTGGCAAATAGCATGACATCTTTTTAAAATCCTGATAATAAGCTTCTATTTATTGAAGGTTGTTTTGTAGAAATGTTTTTCAAAACATAGACATACTGAATGAAGAATGTGCCAGGAACTAAGCTATTTTGTCAAACTATATTGTCAAATATTGTATAGTGGAATACAACATAGTTGGATAAAAATCGACTATATTTTATGTAAATTAGTATAGAATGTGACATGATTTTTAAAATATTAAAAAATACTACATTCAACATCATAGTATAAGTAACTATATGGAATATTGATGGTCTCTTTTCATCTGAAAAAACAATGACCTGTGTTTATGTTTTCCTTTTAGATGGATATTTTCATCATAGGGTGGGACAGTGCCGATACTCCTCAAAGGAACTGCATGATATAGAGTTTATAGACTCTTACTATTTCAATCAGGTTGAATATATCAGATTCAACAGCACTGTAGGAAAGTATGTTGGATACACTGAGCTGGGTTTGAAGAATGCAGAAGCATGGAACAGTGATGCTTCGTTCCTGGCTCAAGAGCAAGGGAATCTGGAGCGTTTCTGTAAGCATAACGCTGCTATCTACTACAGTGCCATACTGGATAAGACAGGTGAGCAGGGCTCCTTAGCACCACTTACAGTCCTCTGACTGATCAAGTGAAGACAATTACTTGATTTTATTCAGGAGAATTGTTAAATAGAGATCTGTCTGATGAAGATAATGGTATAGATAATCAATATCTATCTAGACTAAAGGTAAAAGCTTAAAACTGGATTTTTAATCTAAATTGGATGGATGAATAACATGTTTTTTCTTGAATAGTTATATAGCTGTAACTATATTTAAAACATTGAGTATACTTCTAGTGCCTCTGAGTTGCATCCGAAAACAAACTGAATATTAGTAGACATGAACATTTACAGTATGACTTTAGTCAGCTATGTATTGACAGTTCATTCCTAATCATCTACTATATGTACATTTCAGCTAATCTATCTAATGAAGTCTAATTTCTAAAGCACAGCCTAGGTTCAATGATATCAAAACTATGGAATATATGTTATGCATCCAATCATATATAGTGAACTATAATGACAAATGTTTTGTTTCCTCCATTAGCTGAGCCCCATGTCAGACTGAGCTCAGTGACTCCCCCCAGTGGCAGACACCCTGCCATGCTGATATGCAGCGCCTATGACTTCTACCCCAAACCAATCAGAGTGACCTGGCTGAGGGACGGACAAGAGGTGAAATCTGATGTGACCTCCACTGAGGAGCTGGCTAACGGGGACTGGTACTACCAGATCCACTCCAACCTGGAGTACACACCCAAGTCTGGAGAGAAGATCTCCTGTATGGTGGAGCACATCAGCCTCACTGAGCCCATGATGTATCACTGGGGTAAGGGGTGATAGTGTGGGATAATGGGGTGTGAGTGGGGTAAGGGTGATAGTGTGGGATAATGGGGTGTGAGTGGGGTATGGGTATGAGAGTGGGGAAATGGTGTGTGAGTGGGATAATGCTGTGAGAGTGGGGTAAAGGGGTGTGAGTGGGGTAAGGGGGATAGTGTGGGGTAAGGGTGTGAGAGTGGGGTAATGGGTTGAGAGTAGGTTCATGGGTATGAGTGGGGTAAGATTGTTTGAGTGGGGTAATGGGGTGCGAGTGGGTGAGGTTGTGTGAGTGGGGTAAGGCGGTGTGAGTGAGGTAAGAGTGTGAGTGAGGTAAGAGTGCTACACAGAGTATGCTGTGTATGTTGTGTATTTAATAGAAAAACTGTTATTGAATCACAGTAATATTGTTGATGAAATGATCCTTTCTCTTTGACAGACCCGTCCCTGCCTGAGTCTGAGAGGAATAAGATAGCGATCGGTGCGTCTGGTCTGGTGCTGGGAGCCATCTTAGCATTAGCAGGACTGATCTACTATAAGAAGAAGTCTTCTGGTGAGGGTCATCAGTGTGTAGAAAACATACATACTGTATACACTCTGGAGAGGTCATATACGTTTCTAATAGCATAGTATCTTTATACAGCACATGTAAGGAATTATGAAAACTTGATGTAGTAGTGTATGTAACAGCATATGGGATGGTATCTCTATTCATTTACTGGAATAACATGATTCTTATTCTCTCTCTCGCTCTTCCTTCTATAACAGGGGTGCTCTAGAAGCAACGAGCTAAGGTGAGACTCCTATTCTGATGAATTACCAGTTACAATGGCTCATGTCAAAGATGTCATGATGATTATTTGATGTCTCACTAATAATACTTGTTTGCTATATTTTCAGCCTTGAAGGCACATTGCTGTATCTGCTGCAGAAATGGATCCAAAATGTGATTTTCTTGCTTGTTATGAATCAGTGTTCCTGACAAGACGTCTACTGCTGGAGTGTATAACTGAACATTAATCTATACTTTCTTAATGAAGCATATTTTTGGTAACATATATTATCCGTACTCCTTTCATAATCAATCCATTAACAACGTTAGGCTTGATAGTAATAAGACAAATAGTGCTATGAGAATCATGCAATCAATTGTTTATTAACTTAATAGATCTGATAGAGAACTGCTTTATCTGACCTACTATAACACTGTAAGTTCTTTTGAGTGGGCAGAATATACAACAGTCCACTGTGCTTGGGGTACTTTACTCAGCTGTACTGTTCTGTGTCTTTTTCACTAACAAAAAACTAACTTCGTTCTTAATTAAAGGAGCAATATTTAAATGGTGAAAATATTGTGTGTGGTAATACTGAAGTTTTTTAAAATGCTGGTTGATGAGAATGGAAAATAGGTTCAGTCTTTGTTTAAACTTCTATATGTTTTAGACTAAATATCACTCTGTACTGACATTACACACCTGGAAAGTAACCTCCTAGGTGTCACATTGATAACGTTTTTATATGATTGATTTCAGCTCCCTTCATTTGCGTGTTGCTCATTTGCTGCTCAATCATGGTTGTGGTTTCAGATCTTCTATATAACTGGGACATATTTTTGACATTCCTTTGATATGATACAAGCTTTTCAATAAACCATTATACATGTCATGATGTAGTGTCTCTGTTTACTAAGGTTGGGTTTGATGTTTTCTTGGTATCTGAGGCAAAATGACAGTGGCCTTGAACAAGTTGTATCTGTCACTCCCCTGTGGTTGTGGTTGGTGTGACATTCTTGTTCTGAATCCTAAATCGATCCCTATCCCCTACTCCCTAGGAACTCTTGTAGATCTGAAAGGATCAAGAAAGTTTAAACAGTATGGTCATTACTTCACCTGCCTTCTGATAGTGTCACGCCCTGACTCAGGGGACTCTTATTTGTTGAGTCAGGGTGTGTATTTTCTATGTGGTGTAGGTCTATGTTATAAGTCTAGTATGTGTAGTTCTATGTTGGCCGGTGTGGTTCCCAATCAGAGGCAGGTGTCACTCGTTGTCTCTGATTGGGGATCATACTTAGGCAGCCTATTGACACTCGTTAAGTTGTGGGATCTTGTTCCGTGTGAGGTTTGTTGTGTGTTACCTTTGGACGTCACGTTTTGTTGGTTTATTGTTTTGTCGTTGTTTATTAAGTTTAAAATAAACATGTATGCATATCCCGCTGCGCCTTGGTCTGACCCGTCTATGAACGATCGTGACAGATAGGGTATCACATACGATCACAGGGACCAGGGTGATGTCATGAACACAGTACAAAGGTTATGTTGTAGACTGATGCTATTAGGCATAATGGATTACATTTGTTAGTTGCATTTCTCATAAGCTTATGCTCTTTACTACTATAGGCTACATTTCAATAATATACTAATCTAGTTATTGTACAAATTATTGGCATGTACAGTATATTGCATGTCAACTGTACATATACTGTGCATACCTCTCTATATTTAGTTTCTGTTTGAGGAACCGGACATGTTATTGTCTAGACACAAGACCTGTCCTAGAGAACACTGTCAGGGCTGAATGGGTTTCATCTGCTTTACTCTGTCCAACACAGGGTCAAGAGCCATCAGTCCAGAGTCTGCAGAGTGACTGACGACAATTTAATGTGGTGACCCACCTAAAGGCTTTCAAATGTTCTTGTCATTTTCTAGATAATAAAAATACCGTATTTTCCGCACTATAAGGCGCACTGGACTATAAGCCGCAGGTGTTTTAATGTTTAATTACCATATGTAAGGGTTGGTGCACAGAGGGGATTGTCGGGAAAGAGACAAACTGTCTCGCTCTCGTAATGTATGTCTGTCTTGCTCTCGTTCTGTCTCTCGTTCTGTCTCTCGTACCACTCTCGGTTCCACTTTTACTTTTGCGCGCTACCTGTCTAACTCTTTTCCGGCCTCCAGCTTGGTGGGGGGCGCGGACCGGTCATAGAGCCCATAGAGTTAAAGTTGGTGGACTGTAACCTGTAAAATCCATAGATTTAGGAGGTCTTCTAGTGGCCGTTAGCTGTAAAAATCCATAGATTAGCCGCACCGTTATATAAGCCGCAGGGTCGAAAAATTTGAAAAAAGGCGTGGCTTATAGTCCGAAAATTACGGTACATGTTTCTAGACACGTATGGTGAGTCTTGAGCTACAGCCCAGTGAGAATGTGCTGTGAATCACCAAGGAACTCCTCAGTCTGGGAAACCCTGGGCTAGAACTCTCCATATCTTTACATATTACACACACACACACACACACAGAGGTATGAGGGCCACATGGACCCAGAAACTGCAATGTACATGCTGCTTTTCTATATCCATTCGGATCATTTCAATACTACATACTGTATACACTCTGTATGGCTATGGCTATGTAGGAGTGTACCATCTGATACTCAGTACTCTACATGGTATGCCCTAATACATTCACCTGTTGCTCTGTCTCATCCTGTAAACTATGAGACTTGCTGCCATGCTGTACCTCTATGACTACTAAAGCTGTGTTTGTGTAACTGACTAGGTTTGTTGGTTTACAGGTCTCAGACAAGTTGTTTACTTGTCTTATTAAATGCATAATTCAGTGAACTACCTCTGATACATTTGTATGCACTCCTGTACAGATCAGGCAATATCTGTAAGGAAACATTTGTGAACGGATCATTCTATATTGGTATGCAATGTTTTTTTTGGAAGAACACAGGTCTACTTGAACCTGAAAAGGGAACTTTCCTTGACAATGAGTGATGCATCCATACAGGATCTTCTTCTGCTTCTGCCATTGGCTCAACTGTGGATAATTTAAACTGAAAGGACTTGATTGTACATTTGTATGTATTATTTACATTTTTAAACATAACTTTATTTGCAGGTCAAGGTTCATTAAGTAAATCAGTTTATTAACCTTTAGTAAACAGAAAACGGTAGCTGAATCTGGGATGAGTACAGCATGTGGTAGGATTTGAAAATATCCCTATATAAAATCCCAATATAATCCTAATATGGTGAAAATATGTGTGGACCTTATAAGAAGGAAATGGACAAACATGTAGTTGTAATGGACCCTTGTGTCCATCATGAGGAGACTGTGGTCCTCCTACCTCAGCCTCAGTGTTCACTGTAGTCTGCTGTGTTTCATTCACTCAGACCAGAATTACACCTCTCCCTGACAACAATGCATTTTGTTTTCCTATTGGCTAATATGTAACAACTGAACTGAAACAGAAGAGTGATGGGACTTTCCAAACCATGGCCTTTGAATAGGGGAAGTGTAAACAACCACCTCCCTAGTCTGAACCCAGGATGAGGGTTGGAATGAGGAAGACGTTTTTTTAACACAGGCTTCCTTCTTTTCACTTTGTCATACAGGCCAGTAATGTGGAGGGAATGCAATGTGGTTGATCCTCTGTATTTTCAAGTATTGTGGTAGCAGCATCATGTTTTGGGTATGTGTGTCACTGGGAAGGACTGGGGAGTTTGTCAGTATCAAAATAAATATGAAAGGAGCAAATCCCACGTAAAAAGTTATAGGAAAACCCATCTTCTGAAAACCTCAACCTGAAAGAGAGTTTTATTTTTCAGCGGGACAATTACACAAATGTTAATGCCAAAGACACCAGAATAGCTTTCCAAGAGGTGTTGAGTGTTCCTAAATGGTCCAGTCTCAGTCCTGACTTAAATCTGATTGAAAATCAAAGATTGGAATATTGCTGTCCATCAATTATTCCCAAACAAATTTACTGAGCTTAAGCAATTTTGACAAAAACAATGGATATACTGTATGTTGCTGTAATGATATATGTTGACTTTTTTAATTAGTTGATTTGACTTATATAGTGCTTTTCTAGAGACCCAAAGCACTTTACATAGTTAGGGGGGAACTCACCTCATCCCACCACCAATGTGTAGCACTCACTTGGCGGATACATGGCAACCAATTTGAGCCAGAACGCTCATCACACATTAGCTATCAGGTGGAGAGGTGAGGAGTGATATGTGCCAATTAGGAATGAGAGTTGTGGAAGGTTAGTAGAATCTTATTCAAAATGATTCACAGCTGTAATGGTTGCCAAAGGTGCTTCCACCAAATATTAACTGGGGTGTGAAGACATCAATACATCTTCATTTTTCTTATTTGATTAATTCTGAACATTTTCTATAATTTTTCTTTCACTTTGAAAGTGGAGTAGGTTGTGTAGATCTGTAGGGAAAAAATCTAATTCAATCCCTTTTTTGTTAAATTTGAAGACAGCAAAATGTGAAGGCTGTGCAAGGGATTTGTAGACTTTCACTAGGGATTGTAAATTCCCATTTTGTGAACCTCTGGTGTTTCTTCTATGCAGGGTTTGTATTGCAAATTATGTATTGGGTATGTATGTATGTATGTACAGTATGTATGTATGTATTTATGTATATATGTAGGGTAGGCCTACCCTGAATAATGGAATGGAGCAATGTATGGGTTTTTAATAACCTTGAAGACTGGTAATGTCAGGTGATTTCCCAAACTGCCTCAGGCATATTTCTGCAGAACAGGGTCATCTCAGGTCAGTTGGAGGTATGTTCCCTTTGGTGTCTTTGCCTCCTCAGGGCACACTGCTGGGCTTGTAATCAACAGGCATTGATGCTCTGTACTGGTTTGATTCATTTTGCAGTTTCGCTTACACTCCTCTGCATATTTGACTCTAATATGTTTGACACTGGTTTCATTATCAATGTAAAAGTGCATGATTGCATTTTCATATGATCTCTACACACACACACACACACACACACACACACACACACACACACACACACACACATTTTAAATACTTTATTTGAATCCACCTATCAAATTGACTAAAAAAGGATCCAAACATTTCAAAGGTCCCTGTATGCATGGCACTCAAGGGTACAGAAAGCACCTCCTTCTCCAAACAGCGAGGCTGCCCATGACAGCTGAAACACACATACACACACACACACACACTTGGTCTTATCATCGTCTTGATATGTTTTCAAAATAATGTGACATTTGAGGTGAAATTGTACTTAAAATGGATGTTGTGAATGTTGGCTCAGCTGGTAGAGCACGGCGCTTGTAACGCCAAGGTAGTGGGTTCGATCCCCGGGACCACCCATACACAAAAAAAAATGTATGCACGCATGACTGTAAGTCGCTTTGGATAAAAGCGTCTGCTAAATGGCATATTATTATATTATTATTATTATGTTACAAAGAAACAAAAGGTCAGTGTTTTTTTTGTTGCCTTGTGCCACTCATTCTTTGATGTGATATTTGAGTTGGGGCACCGATGGGACTACACACATCTCTCACCCTAGTAACTGATGATAACGCTATCTTCCATTTTTCTATTGGTTCTGATTTAGAAAATGGAACTTCAGAAGGTTCGGGACTTTTCCAGACTGGTTTGTCTGGACAAGCTGGCTTTCTTTCTATGGTTGAATGGTTGACACAGCAAGTGGCGCAGGTCCTAATCCAGACACTTTTCATCTCCCGTCTGGACTACTGCAACTCGCTGTTGGCTGAGCTCCCTGCTTGTGCCATCAAACCCCTGCAACTTATCCAGAACGCTGCAGCCCACCTGGTTTTCAACCTTCCCAAGTTCTCCCATGTCACCCCGCTCCTCCGCACATCCAGTGGCTTCCAGTCAAGGCTCACATCCACTACAACACCATGGTGATGCCTATGGAGCAGCAAGAGGAACTGCCCATCCCCATCTTCAGGTTAAGTTCAAACCCTACTAGCCAACCCAAACACTCCATTCTGCCACCTCTGGTCTCTTGTCCTCCCACCCCAGATCCTGCTCAGCCCTGTCAAAGCTCTTCTCTGTCCTAGCATCTCAATGGTGGAACCAGCTTCCCCCTGAAGCTATGACAGCAGATTCCCTCCCCATTTTCCGAAAGCACCT